CCCCCCCCCACACACACACGCACACACACACACACACACACACACACAATAAATGGTAGACATAAACATGGTGGAGTCTCAGGAGCTGCTGCTGGGTGCCCCCGAGTCTTCCTCCTGCTTCTGCCGTTTCTTCGCTCTGATTTGGTCGATGGCTTCCTCTACGGAGCGGGTGTCTCTCTTGTTTGCTGCCGGCACTGGAGGAGAACATTATTTACATGATGAGTCAATTCAGTAGAGGGGAGAAGGACTTAAGTCTAGCCAATCAATGCAGTGATTTACTCACCGCAGCCATAAGCCCTGTTGGCCTCTAGTGTGTGTGCGGCATCTTTGGCAGCCGAGGTGCCGATCAGGTGGACGTACTTGTCCCTGTAGTTGGTGTTAGGACACATTTCAGTTTTCTTTGTCTTACTGGATGCTGTTTCTTCCAACACGGCCTGTTCCTGCAGTGACAAGGACATAGAAAGAGACTTATTAGGAACATTTTAGGATAATTCAACCACTAATACATGGTTAGATATCATCCAGCCGCCATGTGGAATTGGCTTGGCTATAAAACGCACATTTATTTAACCTCCTGCCTCTCAACCGGCCTTATGAGATTCTACTTGAGTAAATGCATTGACACATATCCACAGAGATCCTGACAGAGTAATGAGAGTCAAACGCAAATTGTGTATACAAACTACAGGAAAAAGGGAACACAACCTGACTAAATCCAAAGCAGACCAGTTAAGGCATTACGAGTAAAGGATGTAATTGTATTTCTTTAAGCTCCATTGAAAGGGGGGGGGTCTTTAAAAATCGTAATGCTTTTTTTATTATCCTTTCTCTCCCTACATGCATGTTGAATTTGTTCAAAATTGCAGCAAACCATCTAAAATAAGCTTTTTCTAATTGTTGTTTTTATTCATATGGGATGAAGACTGATAAGATAATCACAGGTTGTTTGTTTTCTGCTCCCTCTCTGCCTGTTTCACTTGTGACGCTGCGGCCGTTACATTTATATGATGCCGTGTTGAAAGGGATCTGGAAAGGTCCCTCGTAAAATAAGTAACTAGTACGTTTGATGCTGGTAGTTTTACGTAAGACAGATCAGGTTGCTTATTGGACTTGAGACCTGCATGTTACCATTGCCACCAGACTCAGAGACCGTTCCATTCCACAGGCAATAAGACCATCAATAAACATTCATCTGTTTGCATCTTGCTAATTATTGATCTAATATATCTTATTCCATTTACTTGTAGACTCTTCTTGCACTATTTCTATTTTATTTGTATTCTCTTGCACAATGTTATCTGTTTTATTTGTTCCATGTCCTATATATTCATGTTGCGCTGTTGGCAGGCTTGGAATTTCGTCATTTTAGGGGCAAGGCCATTTGGCCTTTGGCGTCACACATTTTTTCAGGGCGCAAAGGCCACATGCCAGGGCACAAAGGCCATTGAGGGAACATATGGANTACGATAAGTAATAAGGGTATCTTTTATCTTGAGTTCTGTGCCAAAGTGCGTTAGCATTTTTCGCTCGGGGGTCATTTAGATGCTTCTTATGAGACTTGTGTTTTGTTTTGGTAAAAATGGTTTATATCGTCAGTTAGCTGAGATTATTCCCGTTAATCTGGTATAACACATTAATAGGTTCTTAAATATTAAGATCCCCTGAGACACAGTGTCGATAAAAAAAAAAAGAACCCGCCGAGGGGGTCCTTGGGGCTTAACAGGTTTGTCATTGCCATATCTACACTATAGCTAATGTGCACATGACAGTAAGGCCTTGAACCTTGAAATGTGGTCTCCGCCTCACCTTGAGTCTGCGCCGCTGCTCTGCCAGCTTGGGGTCCCACTCCTCTCCATTTCGATAGGCTTCCAGCTCCTCATCTGATGGAGCAAACTCCTGCCACGGCAAAACATGGAAATGAGTCACCTTTCTCCACATTGTTTTAAAATCAAACACTGACTTGAAAGTAAAGTATTCAGACCTTCTTGAAAAGCATGACGTAACGGCTCTCCTCCTCCTCCCCGAAAGAAAAAGAAGTCAGACCGGCCACCTCTGAAACGTCATGCCTAAGAGACAGGAAGGAATGACAGGCAAACACATGAGGACACTGGTCATGTGTCTTGGATTACGTATTGTAATTATCTGAAGTAATCACTACTTACAATATACTCCTCTCAATCTTCCCCATAGGATTGTATTTCCGTTTCTGTTGTGCACTGTCTTGAATGAATTCTGACACTTCTTTCTCCATCTGAACAAGAGATAGAGAAACAGTCTGTGTCATTTCCGTGTGATAAATACCAACAGTGGTGAATGGGAGACTTTATAACAGTGAAGCATTTTGATTATTATGAATGCAAATGGAAAGGACAAACAATGAAATGCAGTCTAATACAAAACCACTTTTCAGTATTATCTAATTATAAACCTATAGTTGAATTGACATATTTCAGAACATGTCAACAAAAACTAAACATTATAAACTCTGTAGAGGTAGATTATGTTTCAGAACAGTTCTATTGCACTGTGTCCAATTAGGTTTGTGTAATGTATGTATGGCCTCTGAGTTTGCAATCAATATATATCAGTTGTGACACTCACCTTTTTCCGGAACTCAGCTTTCTTTCTTTTCTCAAGTTCCTCCATCTTCTTGAGTCTTGCTGCTTGCTCTTCAAAAAAAAGGACATACATTTCAGTTTTCATGGGTTTTGTTTGTGCAGATATAGCAATAAATGTTAGCGGTGTAAACACAGATCACAGGTCTGTTGATACTTTTGAAGACTTAAGTTACAAAAAGACTTATCAAGCGTATGTTATGACATCATGCGAAAAATATCTTGTTCTTTTTAAAATGTGTAAATCCTGCACATTTCTTCTCCACACTACCTCTTTTAAATCAGCACAGCTCTCCACTTTAAATACAGTATATAGTATTTGTCATATGTAAATATTGTTGATTTGTTATAATAGCTTTTTACATTGTCATTACAGTGCTATTTTTATTTTACTTAGTTTTGCTACATCATTTTTATGCACCACATACACCAAAGCAAATTCATCGTATGTGTACTACTTGGTAATAAAAAGGATTCTGATTCTATAATGTTTTTTGGCACGCATGCTCATAACATTTAGTGGAACAGATTTTCTTTTATCACAATCGTCTTGTGTCCTAATGATAACTGAAAATTAGATTGTTTTGTTCATTTGTAGCAACACAGTATTCAGCGTTGCCAAAGTGCTACAATTTGGCTCTGAAGTAGTATTTCATCTGATATCAGGCAACAGGAAAGATAGCAAAATAGATTTAAATGGAGAAAAGTAGTAGTTGTCCTGTAAAAGGTCTATAGGCAGTATCCATACCAATTAACAAATATATGAATCATGAACACATTGCATTTATATGATGCACTTGATTCAACATTTAAAATGATCATAGCTTGAGCTAATAGCATAGCAATTTCTTCAAAGTGGAAGCTGTGGATTTAATGGCAAATAAAAGGTAGATTAAAAGGGATCATCGATGAAAATAATAGGACTCAAGGTAAAGCACTAGTGATCAGAAGTAACCTGTTTCTTAGTCAAACCCAGGAGTCTGCAGCATGTAAAACGAGCTGTTTGTTTACAATGCTTTACACGGGTTTGGATTCTGACTTGCGTTAACATAATTTTGAATTAGACAAATGCCTGGAACCAATGAACCGCGTTCAGTTCAAACCTTTACAGTGATTCAGTGTTTCAGAAACCTTAATTTCCCACATCACTAATCCATATTGTGACCTGAGGTCCGCGGGACACGCGGGGCTGCACGTTGAGGCGGTGCTAAAGCAGACCCAGGCCCACGGTGCTTACTGAAGGCTCAACTGGCCAATGGCAGCCCCAGAAATGCTCTCTAGTTTCCACACACATCCGAGTCCCTCTATATCCATATCAACTATTCAAACGGAAAAAAATAGAATATTTCGTTATTTAGGCAAAGCATGAGGTACCTCGAGCCTTTCGTCGGCTTTCCTGGCTTCCGACTGTTGGAGGCTTCTCCATCGAGTTTAAGATTGAGCCTAGGAGGTCCGCCATCTTGGAATGATAGGGCACAGCGTTCAGTCCGGTTCAGCCTGTTGTTGTTGGCTGCAGCTGTACGGTATGCGCATGCGCAGACAGTGTGGGTTTTTTCTTCGCTGTGTTGAAGAACCCGCGTGTAAAACATCTGTCGCCACGATCGCCACCCTGTGTATCACAGGCATGTCCCAGGCATGTCCCCACCACGTTTTGAAAATGGCCAATTTTGTCCCCACCACTTTTTAAAAGTATAAATTATAAATGTTCTGTAAAATAGCGTGCACAAAGAAATATAATAAACAAGATGTGCAATTTGGACATGTTAGTAAACTTTTAATAGGAACAACATTTTTGACCCTAATAAACATTTATATCTGGCTCTTGAGGGCTCTGAAGTGAAGTTTACTTTTGCCTCAAATATATCAATCAAAGTCAATCAAAGTTTATTTATTTAGCCCAATATCACAAATTGTACTTTTGTCTCATGTTTACAGTTCATACAGAACATGAATACCGGTTTCTTGTGTTATTTATTATTGTATTTATTTCCACATTTATTACTGTTTTTATTTATTTTTTCTTGTGTTTATTTATTCCTCTATTTATTCCCATATGTATCTATTCATGTATTTATTTTCACATTTCTTTATTTCTGTTTTTTTTCAAATGTATTTATTCCTGTATTTATGCATTTATTTATTTTGTATTCATGTCATGTTCTGTCCTCCACCTGTGTGCTCGTTTTGTGCATAAATGTACAAATTCACTCCAAATCACATCACAGCAAGACCTATAGTTGGGCGTTCAATGTATAAAAAACACATAGGTGGTCCAGAGGTCTGTGCATTGGTTATTCATGCAGGTGCTGGAGGTTCAACAACCAGGGGAGGGACATCTTCTGTCTCCCGGTATGTTGATGTTAAATCTGGAGAGTGACGGCCATGATCAGAGGGTTGTAGAGGTGGGATGTAAATAAATACACAAAGGCCTACTACTGAGGTATACTTTATAGTTCATAATTTACACATCTAAAAAAGATACCAATTGTTAGAGTTCAAGAAGAGGCTGAAAAAAACCCTTCTTTAAAGTTTTCTTAAATCTTTGTTAGAATCTCAAAAATACTGTAGAGATGAATATGGGCCAACAGAAATAACATGAATTCATCATTTTATAATATATGATGGAAAATAATTCAGAGGGAAGAGGTATTGTAACTCGACTACATTTATCTGAAAACATCTTTAGTTAAGACACTTTTTATATCACAGGCTATGACCATTTTTTAAATATGCATTTTTTTACCCACGGAAATTACCGAGCAGAACTTAAAGGTGATAAAGTCAGCTCTACCTCTTTGACATTCAGAAGCAACTTCAAGATTACGAATCAGGAATTCAATACAATGACAGATAGATGCAACACTTTGAATAGGACTATTTAATTATTTTTGCTTCTGATACTTCCAGGAGGCCTACACATATAACCGAAATAAGACCTTAAATGCAGTACCGTACTTGTTATTTTTTACAGGATATTTTTCTTCTGCACTTTTGCAGCATATGTGATTACTACAGTAACCTAAAATCAATACATTAATTTGGTGTGGTTGCTAACAGCCCTGTGCTTAATTCTGATGCACAGCCGCTGCTCTTCATCCTGGTTTTACCATGCCAATGGATTGGGTCGAAAACAATAATAATGTTGATAATCTGTCCTAGAGTGTGTCAGAGATTAAACAAGCAAACGTCTTTACACAAGCACCAGGGGGCATGCTATACAAGTACATGTCAGAGGGTCTATGCCTTGTTATTGTTGTGTTAACAATCCTCCCCTGTGTCACTGGAGCAGCGTGTTTTGTGCTGTTTGATTGTAGTTTCACGGGATCAGCAATAACACATGAACTACTGCCTTATTCAGATGTGGGCAGAGCACTGGTGGAACAGAGGGCTGCCCTGAAAACACAGCAGGACAGACAGAATTGTACTGCTTACTGTGTCTAAAGCAAGCAGATACGTTTGTATGTCACACCTAAAACTGAAGGAGTCCTTTTTGGTACAGCCATAGTTTGTAAGTCCAATATCAACAACTGGTTCTTTTTTATTTTAGGATGAATAATAAAGATATTGTTGCTCACTTACACAGTCCCACAACAGTATGGCTCTTTGTAAAATGTCCAAAAGTGATCTTACATTCTCAAGACACTTCAGCTGTTTATACTAAGCTGAGTAAGCTGATCAGGCCTCAGACTGCCATCATTCAGAGACACTTTGTTATTGTGATTTGCACAGAGCACGTCGGACTCCTCCCCCGTGGTTGAAATGCTGTATAAATGCAGCATCAGCCTGTCAACAGTGTCTGAAAGCTTATTGGTACCCAAACATGAAGGGATTGAGATTGGTTCTCCTTGTTCTTCTCCTGATGCTCGCAGTCGGGGAGGGTAAGCAATGAATACACCTGTTTTCATTTAGTGTGAGATCAGATCAACCAATTCATAATATGGCAAATGCTCAAACTTCACTGTGCATATTTGCATGGCTCTAAGGAGAAGTAAAGCAAATAATGAAACAAGTTTTTTTCAGAATTTATTTTCAAGACTTTAAGAATAATGTGTTTACTATGATTACAGTTAAGTCAATATTCATCAGGATTACGAGAACATAATTATCTATTATTTAATGATTATATACAGGCAATGATCTAGAAATGCAACATATTTGTGACATAACAAGAGAAAATGATGAAGAAATGAACCATATTTATGATTATTTTGTGATTATCCGCAGGCAATGATCCAGAAATGCAGTACTGGACTTGTGGGTATAGAGGACTCTGCAGACGGTTCTGTTATGCTCAGGAGTACATCGTTGGTCATCACGGTTGCCCCCGAAGATACAGGTAGACCTGCTACGATCATAAAGAATAACTGTGCAGAACTAATGTAATATTTATAGCTTCTTTTTTGCAAAGACTTTTGAAATGATTGCCCTATTGTAAGATTAACTTAATTTGTTCTGCACTCATTTCCAGGTGCTGTGCTATGCGGGCTTAGCACCTGCATGCAGCAAAATAAGCACTGACATCCCCAGTACATGGGAAGCTGCACCCAGATGGATCTGATAACCAACAGCCTTCTTCTGGACAAACAACGTTTCAATCCCTCTCAGACCGCTAACATGCAGTGGGATCTGACAACAAGTTCTTTTGAAGTGGACTTTTTATATTTAGACCTAGATCACTTATAGCTATTAGGTGTGAGGTGCAATCACAAAGCTGCTGTTGTTGCTTGAAACTGTGTCTGAAGCATCCTGTAATCTCACTTTCTTAAACAACCCTGTGTGAACAGTCACATCTACTCTCCGAGATGCAGTGTTGACAATAAATGCATGAAAGAAAATGATTGATGTTTCTCTTTGATTTTTGTCGTTCTTTTTGAATTATATTGTCCCAAATATAATTAAAACAATTGACTTCACTTTTCATCTGAAAAATACCTTAAATATACTGCTAACACTAACTCTGCAGCACATTACCAACTTGGACCTAACTTTAGGGATATAACAGCATGAAAAGCAGTGGAGTCTGGCACAGCGCTGTACTGACTGGACACAATGATGGTCAAGTGACTGACCCAAATAGCTGTGATGGAATAGAGCTTTTGTGAATGAAGTGTTATGTCTCTTGTCTGTGTTTATGTTATCTCACCATTCTCTCTGACTAGACAACATTGTCTGCAACAGACGGACTACGTCACGACTGCAAAGCAAATTCATTGTTAAATTGTCTGCCTATACGATCAAAGGTCAAATATCTTTGTTGGTCATCTCTGGTTTATTTATTTAATAAGGAAGAGACATGACTGTTCGCTGAAAAATTAAATATACTCAGCCTGGTCCTGATAAATTAGGAATAACTGACATCTAGGAAGCAACTCAAATTATTGCAACATTTAATTACACATCTGAATGTTGCACCCGTTAACATCTGAAGATGGTTGGTGAGCGGTCCGGGCTCGTAGGTGTTAAAGGCATGGATGCTATTTGTAAACATGGGCCGCTGTATTGTGCCCTGCTTTGTCATCTGAGTGGAATCTTTGTGCTATTCAGACAGCGCAGCGTGACCAAACTACAAAGGGATAACCCCCCACAAACCTGTTTACATGAGGCTGTCTGTCTTCACAAAGCTGACAGCTTAAAACACAAAGTTATTACAGGATGGATGTATTTATGAACTGTCACCGCACAGACTAGCGTTACTGAAGAGAAATGAGAGTTAGGGGATGCTGCGGGCGCTTTTTTTCTGATGCTAAAGATAAATCAAATATATATACTATGCAGCCCTAGTAAGTCCTTATTAGGTCATAGGTGCTTTACCTATGGTCAGCTGTTTAGTATATGTTTCCGACAGGGAACCAATGCCGTTTTCTGAGCTCTTATCAAAACTGCCAGACTCTATTTAAAAAAACTGTACTTTTTTTATCTAAAAACATGAAGTTTGCTAGTCTAACACGGCCTGATTGTTGTTCTTCTGAGTTCTGGGATTCGGTTCATTCTGAGTCTGAATGAACAGAATCCCAGACACTTCAATATGGCAACTTTCAATAATGTTTTTACTGTTAGGCAAATGTCAATATGTTTTTGACTAACTGAATGACAATCTAATACTTTAGGCCCAAACTTCATACATTTCTTTACCTACGCTAACCCTGCCATATCTAAATGCCTTCTGGCTTTGGTTATAAGAGTCATTGCTAAGATTTACGATTAGAAGTTTACAGTCTGACCCCAAAACAAGTTTTACAAACCCAGTTCCTCATCTAGAAAAACAAACAACTACCCATTACGGAAATACGACAAGCCCCGATACTACTCCTACTACTACTGTGGTTTTTGGCTTTGCAAATCTTGTTGTCAAGCTAATGGAGGTAACATTTGTTCTAATGTTTTAGGCTCCATTGATCTCTCCCTCTGTGTTGACCGGTCTCCTTCACCCTGACATTGAGGGCCATCTCTTGTGCTGCAGCCAACACCACTATGATCTATCTAGTGATGGTATTACCAATGCGACGAGCAATACTTGGATTTCATTTGAAGTAGTGCTTGACATTTAGGCTAGAGTTTAACTTGTGTGTAATCAAAGCAGAGTTTATTCTTCATTCCATTAAGTGCAGTTATACAAGCTCTGCGCATGATGTCATAGACTTTTACTTTTACAACCACGAATGAAGCGGTTAAACTTGCAGTTAAACTTTGTGGTTTGATTTTTTGTGACAGCTGAATTGAATTTGCTCAACTTCAGTTATTTTAAAGAAAGATGTAATGTGTAAATCTGTTAACAAACAAGGATTGTGTACAGACACCCTTAGCTTAAAAATAATACATTTAAAATTAATTATAAAGTATTTCTAATAACCACAAGGACAAAAGTATATAAGCAGTATACTATAATTCCCTTTTATCACCCAACAGAAGTAACACCCGTGCAATATTGTGCAATACACGACAACCGCCCCGTAATAAACGCTGTCATTGGGATGCTGTTGTTCTTGTATTATAAAGCACAGGTTTTTTTGTCCACATCCTGTTCCAAACAAACTTTGAACTGTCGGTCTTTGTGTTTGATGATTATCATGGGATGCAAGACATTAACAGCATGAAATAAAAATTCCCTGTTATACAGCAGCAGCCAGAACATATACGGTAATCTGTCATATTTATGGCTAAATAATCTCTCCTTTGTCAAGTATTCCAAGGGCAGATTGTGAGACAAAGGTTTTGGCTCATGGGAACAAAACCAAATCATTCAAAGAGAATCATTGTGGTCCTTTCGGTCTTGTTTTTTGCATCTTTTTGTCCTTTTGTGTCCGTTTGGTAATTCTGTTACTGGTTTTGTGGCTCTTTGTAGTATTTCGATTGACTTTGCAACAAGAAATGCATCCATCTGTTTGTTATCTCAAACAAATGGATGTCACCTCAATAAGAGCACCTATGGGCAGACCACAGCCATTGCTCCCCGTTTTTGCCGTTAATCAGCGCAGCTTTACCGCAGAACATTTGAAAGAGAGCTAAATGGGAAAAAGTATTTGAAGAATAACTTCAAAACATCAACTGCAAACATGTACTAAACTAGTTTAGAGGTCACCTATTATGCAAAACCCACTTTTTCACATCTTTTATACATAAATATTTGTCCCCTCTATGTAAAGACATTCTGAAAGTTTCAGGAACAAAGACCCCCTCTCTTTTTGTCCTGTTCCATTCATATAAAAACCTGTCTGAAAATGAGCTGATCAGATTTTGGCCACTTTGTCATACATTTGTTTTGGCTTGTAACCAACCGAGGTAACACCCGCCCACCTTCGCGCTAACCTTTTCACCCCAAGATAGTCCCTGCTAGAGAGGTAGTACTTTCCTGAGTAGGAGATGGTTCGTGGGTGTGTCGGACACACTAAACATCTTTGATTGACTGGGCGAATTGCAAACCACGCCCCGTAAAACTCCGAAGTTTTTATGAACCCAAAGCAGAAGAAGAAGAAGAAGAAGTGACGTCAGGGGGCTTCATTTGCCTAATCTTCCCTCAGGGACACGATCTACTAGGACAGTTAGGCATTTCTGGGGCTGCCATTGGCCAGTTGAGCCTTCGGGGACAACTACCGGCTAAGTACTTGGTGTGAAAACGGCTATTGTGTTATTTTTAACCAAATATCTTGCAGAGGGGAGTGGGGAGTGGCTCTTTATTTTCATCTAAACTAAAGTAACAAGACACAGAATCACCACTTTTATATGTTGATGAAAAAGAGTATAATAGGGGACCTTTAAAGTCTTATTAGTGTCAATTTACATGTGAAGGTGAATTTTAGTGCCTTTAAAAACCATACACTTCTGTACGCTTAATCTTGACATTACTGCTGAGACAGAAAGGTGCATCTTTAACATCAATTCAAAAACGTTTTGTTTATAATCCAAATACCCTTACATTTACAGTAGTAGAGATCCCAATTGTCCAAGCTTAGTGAACAAGTGAGATTTGGTGTTGTGTCTGAAGTGAATCCTTGTTCCACAACCTTTGAAGAATTTCTAAATGTCTATAAATCTAAACTAAAGTGAAATGAGATTGCTTTGACAACAGCACTGCTTTCAAACCGTTTATAAAAAAATAAAGAGCCAATCTAACAATCCATGTGCCTGCCAGGACAGAAACAAAGCGAACACATCAGAATTTAGCAATGTACATATTCATATGATGTTACAGAGCAGGATTAGCGGTCTGTTTCAGGACAAAAACTCTGACTCAATCACAATAAATTGGCAGCAAACATTTGAAAACACAAAAAAAAAAAACATACTGGAAATCGCCAAAAGCAGATATGAACTTAATATTGACAACAATAAAACAAAAATTGCGAACATATTTACATTGATCACTTACTAAAATAGAAACACATCATCCATCTTCTCCATCATCTCCTACTCTAATACGCCAACATCTGAAATGAATCCAGTTTAAAAAACAGGAAGATTCTTCAGTCCCAGCCAGTGTGACTGAAAGGTTGTAGATGAGAGGTGCTCAGTGCACTTCAGTAGATACAATCACAAAGACCGGCTACCTGAAACTAATAACTCTCCTCATTCGACCAAGACGATGATGGCATATTTTGTAAAATTCAAGAGAAAAGACCCATAAAATATATTGGCAGTGCTTCAATACAAACAGCATATTCATATTTCAATTTGGTAAAAAAAATTCCTGTGGATATATTTCATTCTTTGAAGTAATCTTTTTTTCTACAAATGTCAGTTTTTGTTCAAGAAGGTGAGTCCAACTCAAGAGCTGGACATTTATTCTGATGCTGTTTGAATTAACGCCTGTCCATTAGTGATGATGATGATGATGATGATGAAACAATGAGTCTGTCGAATATTGACAGCATTGAAGACGCTTTAGAAGACCCTCTTGCCTTATATTTTACACTTAGTCAAGCTCTTGGTCATTATAGACATGGTAAACAACATGGAGAAAAAAGTTAGGGCAACAAGTATTAACAAAAATAGATCACTGCATGCAACAGATCAATGAAAATAGACCTTGTGGTCTCTGCTGAATTATCTTGAGCGATCCCAGCTCAAATGTGCCCCCTACCATTAGGATGGAGCATGAACAAATGCTGCTTCCTAAACAGAACAAACTCTCAGGAACATGACACCTGACAGAGTGGAGAAAGTTTACATTAAAAAACAGCCAGAACTCTTCAGTGTTAGCAGACATACTAAAACGATGTACTGTCTCCATGTTGTAATGACAGAATCTAATTGATGACGACAATAAATCATGAAACTTTTAAAATAAATGACCGTCCCTACAGAAAAATGTCTTGGCGGTTCACTGGGAAAGAATTCACCGTCTTTCTGGATGTTTTGGCTGTTTCAAAACGCACCTCTCTCATTGTGCATTGTTGTCTTTATCACTAAGACGAGCCCCTTTTCACTTCATAGTGACTTAGGTTTGTGCAATTTAGGAGCTTTTCATATAGTCCCTTTCAAAATGTGGACATTTCACAGCTCTGTTACAAAATAAATGTATTCAGCCCTTAGGCCTAATTTGCTAGAAAAAGACAAAACAAACTTGATATTAGGGTTGGAAGATGAGGAAAAATACAGCAACTATAGACTGAATCTAGCACTGGGGGAATTTGTCAGGCTGTTTTTAATGCACCAAAGATATTTGCATGTCCGCCCCAAAGGGGATTCAAGGATGTAAACATGATGTACTTAAAGCACAATTTCTATGGCATCGGTAGCTGCAAAAGACCCAGCAATTTGGTGCTTCATTCACTGATAGTCTGCACGGCATAAACACATTACCTGCACTCAAGCGTGGCTTTATAAGGAGACTTCATGTCAGTGTCATGGCTTCTTAATCCAGTGCTGTACTGCTGTTGAGCCACATACGTTCACATGGAGCAAATATGTTGAATACAGCATCAAATGGAAGTTCAATTTGTAACGGTGGCCAATTGGAAATGTCTACTCTATCGCCCAACCCTAATTTGTATAATGTATTGTGATGTGGTGGCACAGATGAGGAAAAAAACAGATTAAAGGCCAAAGACTTTCAAACACATTATAGCCGTGCATCAAACTGGAGCCTCAATAGCAATCAGTGCGAGGAAATGATCATACGAGCACCTTTCCACAGTCTGGACAAGTGATGATGTTTGTCTCCAGGTTGAACATAGTTAAGTTCACTCCATGCTTTCGTTGTCCTGGAGTATTCTGTTCAGATGGGTGCTTTGCCTCCACGGCTCCTTAAGAATGTTATTTTTACTCTTGGTCCTTTCTGAAATGTCATCGTCATCTAAAAAGCTGGAGTATCTGTTAAGGATTCAGATGATTCCTTGCAGTCCAGGGCAGCTGGCTGGTATGCATGGTGGTGGCCTAGGTTACTCACATTCAATGATCTTCAAGGCAGGAGTGGTCATTTGTGAAACAAGTACATCGGCCTCTGAAAACCTGTTGGGAAAAAATGATCAAATGTAATTAAGCTACAATCTTTATGAACATGATATGCATATATTTTTGCAGACTAACGCAGGGTCGGCTTTGGCTTAGGGGGGGGAAATGATCGTTTACCAATGGGAGGTTTATTGGTTTGATCCCTGGTCCCTGCAGTCAATGACATTAGTGAATTACCTCTCATTGAGCACTTGGGGGCCCCAAGGTACTCAGAGCTGGTGAAGCCCACCTCTGTTGTAAGGTATGATGGGAACTGGTCAGGTCTGAGGCGGATGCTTTGGAAATTCTTGTTTATGTTATCCTGTCAAGTGAGAGAGAAATGAGAGAGATGTCAGCCAAAGTTTTAAAGGTCCCCTATCATACTGTTTTTCATCAATATATTATAGGTCTCAGATATATGCAAATCATGTCTCTGAAGTGTTTGGCTCCAAACACCAAACAGATCATTGCCGCATTACCCATAATCCCCTCTGTTTCAGCCCTGTTTCAAAAGTGCTGATTCTCTGTCTGTTACTTTAGATGAAAATAAGGAGCCCCTCCGAGAGATAGTNGCCTTTTAAAAAGCAGCTGAAAACCTTGTTGTTTAGACAGACTTTTAGTAAAGGTGAAGGTTCTTTTTGACAGTTTGTTTTATGTTTTGATGTTGTGTTTTGATGTGTATATGTAGCTGTGTGTTCCTTGTTTTACACCATGTATTCTCCTTTTTATCGTGATCTCACTGTGAAGCACTTTGTGAATCCTTTCTGTGAAAAGTGCTATATAAATAAACTTTACTTACTTACTTACTTACACTCCAACAGTACATAACAGTAAAACTATGGTCGCAGACCCAAGTTTAACTCTCTGATGTCTAAGCCATTTTTTCGCGTTAGACTCGCGTGGGCTTTTTAAAAAAAAAATGCTATTAAAACATGAACCTTGGTGACCATTGGGCTGGCCAGCATGGTCTGCCTACAAAACAAAAATAAAAAAGTTTATGCGGCCCCAACAACAGCC